TGGTCAAAAATAATTACAAATTATAATTATTATTATCATAAAAATTACAATTACTATAATTTATAATTCATCTTTTAGGCCAACCATATTTTCACCATATGTAACTATATATGTATATTTGTTGATAGAACTATATATATAGTTATTGTTATTAACATTATAGCAATAATAATCATAAAAATGAAGCTCCTAATTATTTTACCGTGCAATTATAATATAAACACTTTTGTCTTAATATTGGTTAATTAGAATTCTGACTGAAAATGGATAAATCAGTTTTTTTTTTTATTGAATATATTGTAATTTTGATTGATATGATTAGAATCTATTATGTTATTTTCCTCTAGAAATTTTTCTCAGTGTAATGTCGTGTGGATGTACGGCTTCCGAGGAGCGTACGATCGAGACTCGGAAATTTAAGTATCTTTTTCGGCTGTTACGAAATCTTATCCTCCTCCTCCGTTCCCAAGTAAACGTTCCGAGAAGCGATATCGTTGTAATGAGGTAGATACGTTTTCGCGAATTTGCCGGTAAGCTCGTTCATTAAAACGCATACAACGCATAATCGCGGCTGCCTCGTGTGACATCGCGTGCGCGCGCGCGCGCGCTTTGATAAGACGTATTCTTCGCATAGCCACGTTGGCATCCTGACACAAAACATCGCGCCTACACGAGCGTAGGATAGACATATGTATGATACAAATACAGGCAGCTCGTAGAAGGGAGAAACGAGGAGAGGAACGTTGATGTAACTAAAAGTGCAGGCCGCGTTCGAGTGGCGGACGCCACTAAAAGTGCGTACGTTGTGAAGGCTCGTATTTCTGCCAGGGTCAGCAGACGCGGGTATCACGCGTTCAACTAAGCACAACGTCGTCCTCATGAAGCATCTTTTTACCGTATTCGCAGTCGAACACCTTTTCGAGCTCCTTGTCGACGAGTTCGGCTCGTACGCGCGGAACGAAACAATTATTTGCGAGGCCTAGATGCGATGCATTGAATTTTTTCTCTCAACGTAGCCTGAATATTTATAGGGACGGAATGTAAATTTAATAATCAGAGTCATAAAGAAATTTTACAATCTAGTTTTAGAAGTAGTTTCTGAAAAAGAAATTAATAACTTGATTTAAAAGTCTTACGAAAGGTACGCCGAAAAGAAACTATTAAATTTTAATACATATTTCTTTGAATAATACTAAGGAAACATTTATTTACAATAAATAAATATTCACTTATTAGGACTATTCAAATAAATATTTACTGAAATTTAATATTTTTTTTATTGTAGAAAAGTGTTTGTGACTATAATTGCATGGTAAAATAATTATAGTTAGGAGCTCTATTTATATAATTGTTATTGCTATAACGTCAGTTAACAATAATTATAGTTCTACAAAGAAGAAAGAATAGTTGATATCGAAAATGATTATAAATTATATTTAAATTATGATAAGTGCAATCATTTTTTTTCCAATGTAATTAAATCTTCATAAACCGAATGTAAATTTAATAATCTGTTCTGTGCCTTTCAGACTTTATGAAGGAACTTTGTAATTTAATTTCGAAAGTAAAGATTTGAGAAATAAATAATTTATAGCTAGATTTAAAAGTCTTATGAGAGGCGGACGATTTTTTTCAGACATTTATTAATTTAAAAATTTAACATTGTGTATCATTAACTGATTTAATATTTTATCGCTGACATCTCTATGCCTATATCTATTTATAAATTATATTTAATAATTATGTTTATATCTTCGCAAAACGCTGTCAAAGTTATCTTCCGCGCAATCATTCGTTTACATAATATCAATTTTGCAATTTTCCCCTGGGGTATACTTTAATTGTTCGCACCGTTTCCCCGAGTTCCATTACTATGTAGTTGCTCTTGGATTATACGCTCTAAAGTGTTGCGTGCCGTTCAAGCAAGACCTTGATTGTTAGTCCATATTAGCTAGCATGATGCAGCAACGTACTAACGCACCGTCTCTCCGTAAATGTCCGGAGTAACGCACAAATGAAACGCACCTACGGAAATTCCTTATTAACGAGTTTGCCCAAGTCATCTCGACGTAGCATTTGAATGCAACCGACGTACTTCTCGGCGTGTTTATATGTACAAACTTCGTTCTCGAGATCTCCAGTTCTTCCAATTTAACCTCTGACATCCAGAGACGAGCTCGTAGAATTCGTAGTAGATCCAGTGATCGAGGAGAAAGAATAATCTTATCTATATACATTCCCGTATAAAAGCATCCGCTAGTTCGTCATCTGGGACGAAGGTGTTTGATGAGAGAGCACCATTCTTTTAGCTCCCACGCGATGGAACATCCTTCTTTCTTAACAGGCCAGTCGGCTATTAGAAGGCAACATCGATAAATTTTACGAAGACATTGAAGAGAATTTGTTACGCTGCTTTTACGCGTCGTGTCTGAATAATTTTGACTTAATACCACACACAAGCTTAATGAAATTCTAAAGGAAGCGCACGTATCTCATGTGAAAGGACTTTAGATTTTTGCATAAAACATAAGACGTAAAAAATTCCTCTTATTGTCGAAGATCTTGATTGAGAAATGTGTCTTCGTGTGTTTGGATTGCGTATTAACATTTAACACGTTTGTGTATTTAGATACTCGGAAGCTATAAACGAAGATTGAAATAGACTGACAATTTGTTTCGACAGATGGGAGAGAATTCGCGTTGTTTGGTTGGACTGAACGGGGATTAGCTTAAACAGGCAGGTAGATCTACGAAACGTCGCATCTTTGAT